CAATATTAATACATTAAGCGGAATACAATTCATGTGATGATCTGATAGAACAGTAAAATTAAGTATTTGGTGAAAAAGATACATATAGCAGTTAGCTGTAGATGTAAAATAAATGAAAAGTGCTTATCCAAGCAGAGAAGACCCATCATTATGCAATATGTCTCCCTCGAACTGTGATGAAGCACTGACAACATCTTCGCGGTCTCATCATTACCATCTGACGTTCTAGCTATCATCGCCAGGAATTGTGTTCCTCCTTAAGTTTTAAACACGTGTGTGTGTGTGTCTTAGGTAACAAAAATAAAATAGTGTGACATAAATTATAAAATAAAATCTCTATTATTTCGTTATACTGTATCAAGCTAACGGATCTCTTAGTCAAGTGCTTTATCTCAGTTCTGATGTTACTATTCTTGTTTCCAAGCAAATAAATAAATACTTTAATCCAAATAACAATGAAACAAAATTTGTCTTACAATTATTTATTAGACAACAAAAATATAATAATACTAGTGTGAGACTACGAACGATGTTTTTTATTTTCAGTTAGTGAGGGTGACTTTCATCGTCCGAAGGTCATCGACGAGGGACCACGATGTCACGTGACCCCCATACGTCCGAGCGACCGGACAATAAATGACCAAATAAGGTATGAATTTCTCTACGGCGCGGGAGACTGTCATAAATCAGGGAGAACTGTCAAAAGACGTCAACAATTCTCAGATTTTTCCCACGCTGATCGGGTATATAAAGGGGTCGGATTTTCTACTCGGGGCTGAGCCAGGGCGCTTAAGCCGAAGAAACCCCTCTGCAAACCTCTGAAGAACTTCGTCAAGGAAGAACTCTACATATTGGGAGCGACGGAGTATACACCGTAACAGGACATCGCTCCACATAGCCTTCAAAGGACACCCCGGATTAGAAGACAACGATCACAGAGTGTTTTATCAACGCCCTATAACTGGAGAACGTTGCCTTCAAGGTAAACCCTTGCCATTATAATTTATCTCTCTGTAACGTGAGCTCTCTCTCGGATTTTTGCGTTAGGTTAGAATAGATTTTAGAATACCTATTTATATCTTGATTCGCGTATGTTGTATTTAATATCTTTGTGTAAATTTTCTTATCTGTATATTAAATGTGTTTGTTAATTTAAACCCGTGTAGTCTTTTGGACACCTGATTACGACTTCCGACTCCTCTCCACTCATATTTTTAGCCCTCCTATTGCCATCCGACAACCGAGAGCGGGTCTTTCCGACCCGTGCAGATTAAGTGGTCATTAGGCTTTAACCCAGTGGCCCCCTGCTACTCACATATTGGTGACCCAGGAGTGGGGTCTCAGAACTTAAAACCTCCCGTAGAAACTACATATTGGTATCACAGGAGTAGGGATCTCTGAATTCCAGGTGTTATAAAAACTCACCAGGTTTACAGGAGTGGAATTTTTGTCGTATCTGACAGGTCCGTCTACACAGGGTCCGCGGAAAGCAAGCTGTCCGCCTTAAACAGGTTTCAAAATAGTCATAAGGACTTGCTTTAAAGTTTCTAAATTCTAAATTTTAGCATAAAAATGGCAGAAGGTGGTGAACCGTCGTGTATCACTCCAGCAGGTAACCCCATAACAATAGGAGGTTTAGGGGGAATGATTCCCTTATTGCCAATATTTTCGGGTGATCCGTCTGGAATTAAAATTACGGAGTTTTTCGATACTCTTGCCGATGTAATGAGGATTGCAGCTTGGTCTAAAGCGCAAATCTCAGCTGTCGCAAAGCTTAAATTGACAGGAATAGCGCGAGAATTTGTTAGAAAAGATAGGCGAATAAAAGAGGTTGAGGATTTTGATACTTTTAAAAAAATTATGATCGAACGATTTGAACGGGTTCCCTACACTTTAAGATTGAATAGATTTTATGGATGCGTGCAACAGAGAGGCGAAGATGTCCAAACATACGCAGTAAGATTGCAGGCATTGGCATCGGAGATAGAGATCTCACACGAGGGAACAGACGAAGCGGAAAGGGCCATAATTCGGCGAATACAAGATAGGGAATTAGACGAACGTTTGAGAGTTCAATTTCTAAATGGCATAGACATAAAAATAAGACAGCGCGTCATGTCTAGAGAGCCAAAAACTTTTGATGAAGCACTAGAGGTAGCGATTAGTGAGGAGTCAATTGAGGAATTAACAAACCCTCCTCGTGGAATTATAAGAACGGTCACAGAAGCTCATTCCGAAGACTGGGAACAAATAAAAGGTCAGATAAGAGATCTTGCGGCGCAAATACAAAATTTAAATAGAGAATATTTTAATCCGCAATATAACTCGGAAAGACATATTAATCTACCCAAGAAACGACCACGAACTCATAGAGATATCCATTTTCAGGATGCAGAAGAGACGAAGTGGAAGGGTAGAATAGGTTTGACATATATCCCATGTAGTTCAGTTAAGGACAAGGGTTGTCGAACAACGAACACTCGCCTATAAAACGTGCTAAGGATTTTAGTGAAAAAGGTCTACAAAATAAGGGAATAGGAAGAATCGAATTGATTCGATCGAAACGAAAACCCATTGTTTTGGTATATATTAATAATATTCCGGTCAAGATGCAAATAGATCCCAGTTTAGAATGTACAATTATATCGAATGAATTGGCAAATCAACTTAAGGGTAAGGCGTATGTAAAATTTGGTAGTATGAAAAAGATTAATAGAGTTAATGGAGAGAAGATTAAAACATTAGGTATAGTCTCACCTGTTTTTAAATTCCGAGGGTATAAATTCGTTCATACATGTAAAATAGTTAGACCGGACAGTACAGGTCCTTGTCTAGGAATTATAGGAAACGATATTCTTAATGCACACGGATTTCATATAGAGAGCGCAAAGGAGCATATTTTATTACCTAACGGGAAAATAGTGCATTTTTGTTCGGAGATGGCACCGCACCGCGGTGTAAGAAGACGAGAAGTAGAAATACCCGCTAAAGTAGGTCTTATTAGAATGAATACGCCAATAGTTACACAACATAGGTTGCCCTATAGGCCAAATCGCATAAAAGCGAAAAAAGAGTTTAAAAAGCGAAGCAATACTTTGCCCGAGCAGGAAACCGTTCCAATAATTCGAGAAAATTTCGCGCGGAGAACGTCGCGGCGAAAGAAAGGAAGACGGCCACCTTCTACCGTCATTCCTATCCGAATTCAAAAGGAAAAATCTCTACAAAAGAAGAAAGATTTAAAATTAAAGGAAATTGGATATCCTTTTCTAGCAAAAAGGCGGAATACACAAAAAAAAAAAAAAATGGTAGAGAGGAGATGAAGAGCCCTACTGAGCCGATGTTAGGGGAAGAATCTTTATTTGCTGGAATGATGGATTATATTAATCAAATAAAATTTCAGTCGCGATTTGATAAAATCCAAAATTGTTAGGTAGATAGGGAAATAAGAGTTAGTTAAGTTTCTCGATTTTGAAAGACAGAGAGAAGGAGAGAGAAGAATGGAGAGAAAAGTGAGACAGGACACCGGAAGTGTATACGATAAGGCTGACGGAAGTGAAGGAACTTCATAGTGAACTGACCGGACGAGCCAGCGGACCGATGAAGGAGCCCATATTCAAGTTGGACACTGTTGGTAAGTGTTTGTTGGTATATGTCGACTTTTGACAAAATTTGTACGCGTTACTCGACCACCTCTTATCATTTTGTTACGCGAGCGCGAACGCGACGCGGAGTTCTGGTATGTACGCGTATGTCAATCATTTTTATTTTTTTTGCAAAAGCAAACGCGACGCGAAATTAGATTTAGAGATAATTAGGATAATTAGTAGAGAATAGTGTTATAGACAGAGTGAGAGAGAGAGAGATTGGAAATCCGAAGAAAAAGGAAACTTATATAGAATGCTTCAGGTCAACGACCCAGGTCGGAAGCCAACGAAAACATACAGTGCTTCGTGGGACCGGAAGTCCCACGAAGGTCGACACCACTATACGTCGGATATCGTCGAAAGGACAATATTTATTCAGAAGCAAAGGGACAAGCAACCAAGGAAAATGCAACCTACCTGATGTAGCCGAAATTGTTGCGAAGATTAGTTTTGCCTTCGGCCGGATGAGAAACATCATCTCGGATTCCACAACGAAAAAGGGAAAAATCACACCAAAAAGGTGAGCGATTTTTAGAAAAGTGGGGGATAGTGTGAGACTACGAACGATGTTTTTTATTTTCACACTAACTGCGTAGTTAGTGAGGGTGACTTTCATCGTCCGAAGGTCATCGACGAGGGACCACGATGTCACGTGACCATACGTCCATTGTTACGTAACACTTTTATTGTTACTTAAAACTTCTATTGTTACTTAACACTTCCATTGTTACGTAACACTTTTATTGTTACTTAAAACTTCTATTGTTACTTAACACTTCCATTGTTGATGGAAGTGTTAAGACTTAATCCTGTCTCTCTCCCCCGTGGGGAGGAATTTCGAAAAATCTTTTCTTAGTGTTTTCGTGACGTACCCTATCTGTGTACCAAATTTCAACTTTTAACTCCTAACCGTTTGGGCTCTGCGCTTATTATTATTATTATTATCATCGACCCGTCTCGATTATGCTCGTATATCAGATTTAAATACCTATAACAATGTACAAATATTTAACAATACTCGTTATGGCGAAATTATTTATAATCGATGTAATAGCTTAATATATCGAATGACATAATTTTATGCTCGATATTTAAAAAAAATTAAATTTTTAATTAAATTTTATGCATATTCTATCAAAATTTATAAAACAGATATCACTCTCACGCCTACCCCACCCTCGTGCGCCCACATAGAAGCCACGAAACTCCATTGATCTAGTTCGGGATTGTACACCTCGACCGTGCTCGGGATTGTACACCTCGACCGTGCTCAGGTTCGACACCCCGTCGTATCCTATGACGTAATGTTTCCCACAGTTGGTCACTAGGGCCACCCTGCTACACATCACGTTCATAGGTGAAATGTAACTTCATTGTTTAGTCAGCGAATCGTACACTTCTGCCGTTTGCAAAAAAATAAAGCAGTCGTTCTCACCGCGCACATATATCTTGCCGTTCAGAGAAGAAACACCCAACCTGCACCGTTTCGTCAGCATGAGTGCCATGGGAGTCCATTGACCTGTCTGAGGATCGTATCTCTCCACCTGTTGTAAATCACAGATAGAGTCCACTTTCATTAATACTATAAAAACTGAATTAGTCCATTAATCATACTTATGGAATCAAAGATAGAAAGTCCATTGTGTCCACCCAATGCGTAAATGTGTACTTCGAAAGCCACCACTCCTGCTGCACTGCGATGTTTGGACTTACTGGTCACCATAGTCCATCTGGAATATTTTGAAAAAATTCCAATGTTAAATTATGATCCAAATTTAAAAATTAGTAAATATTTTATCATTATGTAAAATGTTACATTTAATAGTTAACTGCATATTAACCAAATTAAATAATTTATTTCAATATACTGTATATATCGAGTCAAATCCAGGTGAGCATCCCTCCAGAAATTTTTCACAGGCAGTCTGAGCTGAATATGTCGGGCTCCACCCCATTGTGATTATATTAAACTCACAATGAGTGCAGAAAAAACGACCACTACTGACCACAGGGCAAAGGTCTATTTTGGAAAAAGGACCAGTATTTTGCTCTAGAGAAAAAAACAAAGCTTAATGGCATCATTCAAATTCTCTGAAGTCTACAAAAGTTCACACACAACTATAAGTAAAAAAATTTATATCAGATTAATGTTGCTTAATCAGCCTAAAATATGTCCAGAAGTGCAACCAGTAGAAGTACTATCGCTTGTTAAAATCCACCAAACACAAACTTTAGTACTTATAGCAACATGACAAATGGGTTATCTGGTGAGAGGGATGCCTCCTAGAACTTTCTATGGTTAACTTGCACTTATTTAGGTGATATAACCTAAAGAAAACTCGGAAACTTCCACATGACCTGCCTGTTGTTGAGGTGCAAACCCTTGACAAACTACAAGTGTTTAATGTGGCCATTGGCAAGTACAAAAGCTTTAGTTAAAAATACTTATGCCAGCTTCTGGAGTTATCCTAAGTGGAACATCACTTCAGTGAATAAGTGGTGCACCATAATTCCACTTATTCACCACTGTAATAAAGTTTTGCATTTTATCAATCAATCCTTAGATTTGGAGAGAATTTTTCTATGCTTAAAAGGTCAACTTTTAATATACCATATATACCAATATATATTGAATAAGTTATTGGATCATAGTAGAATTAGTGAGTGTCCATTACATTGTTCACGAATGTTCGACAATATACAAGAAATAACATACTGAACTACTAACTTATCCATACACTAATTATTTTTTGGAAAAACTTAAAACAATAATATACAGTATATTATTTATAAGTAATTTAGGATCACCAAAATATTTTTAAATGTTTAAACTGAGCTGTACAACTAATAAATATCTTTCATATTAATTCTATAAAAAAATTTTTAAATCATCTAAAAAAATTTTATTTTATTTAAGTGTATTACTATCAAATATAAAGCATACACCTNTTTATTTAAGTGCATTACTATCAAATATAAAGCATATACCTACTCATCTTTATCAGGATTGTAGCATTCTACGGTATTGAGAGATGAAACTCCATCATAACCACCACAAACATACAGACAGTTATATAACGAAGCTGCCCCTACAGCACTAAAATTATATTATAATTGATTATTTAATTATAATATTCATTAAAATTTTATTAATATAATAAACAAAAATATTTTTTAAAAATTATTGTTGCAGTTAATAAACAGTATTGTTCAATCTGTACTTTCATGTTCATTAGGTTTATGATTTGAAACTATAAGCACATATTTCGTCATAACTTTTCTACAGTGGGTTAGTCAGGTGTGGTGCTATCCCTATGTAGTAGAGAATAAATGTGGGAAATTTTTAAGAATTTTCCCACGCGTTTTTTCTATTTACCGTTTCAAAAAAAATTTTGTAAACAGTTATATCTAGTTTACTTTACTAGACATAACTGTTTACAAAATCTTTTTCTGATTTTTTAAATATTTTTTTATTGTTACATAATTCCTTTTTATGTGAATTATTATTCTGTTTGTTTCCTCTATGGCGGCTACTATCAGCAGACAACCGAACGCTTCTTATTACACTGTTCGCTCGAATATTAAACTCATTGTCCTCGTATACACCAATAGCATTCCAGTGAAAATTCGAATAGATGAGAATGCTGAGAGTACACTTTTGTTACTTTTGTTCCAAAAGGATTACTGAAAAATTAAAGCCGAACGTTTTGGTACAGTACTCAATGCTGCAGAAATTAGAGAATACTCCTGGTAAAGAGGTTTTAGTTAGAGGCATGACGACACCACTATGTAAATTACGAGGGTATAAATTTAGAAGGATGGGGAGAATTGTGGATCCTGTGGTGACGGTCCCGTGCGATGGTATCCTCGGAAAGGATATTATGGAAGGAGAAAACATCAAAATGGATCGCCCAAATAGTAGAATTATTTTGCCGAACGGAAAAGCCATACACTTTTGTTCTCCTATACCCATAGACAAAAAGCAGAGATTTAGACAAGAAGAATACCAGAAGTCAAGTAATAATTCCTGGAAAAGAAAAACCTGTAGATCGAGACAAAATGGAGCTAAAAGGGATATATATAGACTTGAAATATTCTGAACCAAGTGTAATAAGAAGCGTTCGGTTGTCTCCCCACAGTAGACGCCATAGAGGGAACGACTACTATATAGTTAAGGATACCCAGGCAACCAGCACTCTCAAGCAAAGAGTTATAGGACATACAGGACTTACTTTTACTAGCCGACTCAATGAAGATTCTACAGTCCATAAGAAGTTAAAACTAACAGGAAGAAAGGAGAAAAAGAAACTCCCCGATAAACCTATACAGGACTCTAGGAACGAAGATAACGTAAGAAGGAACTGTTCTAAGAACATAGTTATCTTAAGAAAATTTATAAATCTGTTGCTGTTCGCCTTTACAATTGTTTTCGGACGATTTAATAAGATGGTACTCAGACAGGCCATTTTGGGAATGGAAGAACCCAGAATAGAAGTAACATCATATAGAAGCCACATACCAGTTTCAATTCTCCATAAGCCTAGGGGTTATCCAGTACTAAACCGAGAGGGAATTACAAGATTGACCAGATACTACCTTGATTCCTTTTTATAATTTTTACAATGTTCTACAGTAGAGCCTCGATTATCCGACCCCGATTAACCGACCGTCCTAGTCGGCAAATTTCAAATGTTTGCTAGTGATGTGGCACTACAATATTTAGCTATGTCTTGGCTACTTTAATATCATTTTTACGTGTTTTAGCTGGCAACACTCATTCGACCATGAAAGCGAGCCAGTATTTAAACGAGGCTTAATTTTCTAATTTTTAACGATACAATAGCGACGATTATTATTTTTTAAAAATTTTTGTCAGACTTAACATTGATGAAAATTCAACGCGATGTAGGTTAATAGCGATATACTAATATGCTAATATACTAATTACATGGCATGTAATAATATACTACACTAATAATGAATTTTTTCATACTTTTCGGTTATCCGACTTTTCAATTTATCCGACCAACCCCAGTCCCCAATTGAGTCGGATAATCGAGGCTCTACTGTACTTATAATTAGAGAGAAAAGGGAAACTACGTCATTTCCTCCAGTCCTTCGTTTATTTAAAACTACTAGATATAATAATAACATAAGTTATCTTAAATTTAGATTTAAGTTTTTGATTTTGTTTTAAATACTCCCTCTAATTTAAGTGGTAGTGTTGAGTAAGGATGATAAAAAGAATTAATCTGTATTTGACTCTAAATCTCGATTTGAGTTGAATAAGACTTCGATATTTAATTGGTGGAAACGAAATTAATTTAATAAGAATAAATAGATGATAAGGAAATATGAAACCCTTGAATTTACATTCAAGCTAATAGTATTGCCTACTATGATCGTCTATACGAAATCATCCGAAGGAAAAATTTAAGCCTATAGAAAAAGTAAAAATTAAATAAATTACAACCTTAATGTAAGATTTTAGAATCCTCCATAACCTAGCAAATAATCTTGACATACCTGTAATTTTAAGATTAAAAAAAAGTTATATAAAAAGTTAGATAAATAATAAAGTTACTTTAGATTGCTTTTAAAAGGAGAGAGAGTGTTTACCTCAATAAGTGTATCTAAGTTAATACCTCTTACTTACCACTGGAAGAAAGGTGAACTCACAGCATAGAGAAGCAGACAGAAGTTTTTTCTATATTATACACTCATTAAACTTTTCCCATAAGAAAGAATACGAAAGAGGTTATCAAGAAGGAATTTGACTTATTAACTCACCACATCCTTCCAACAACAGAAAATAACACTGCCCAAAAGACAACTTCTTCATTCACTTATTTGTAATAATACAACAGAGTGAATCTATTTCCTTCAATATTCTACAAATTATATGTAACCTAATATAACACATTTGTATATCTTTATTTTAATTATCTTAATATTAATCAGCATTATATATGTATATCCATTTCAATCTTTTATATAATCAAAGAATTGTAATTAACATCATATATAGATGTATCTTGTTTAATCACATAACTCAGAGAGAGAGAGAGGATATATTTTGCAACTATAGAAAAATCCCACCTCTTCTAAAGGTAGTGTGATTTTTGAAGAGAGGAGAGTGGTGTGACAAGCTGGATATAGCCAGTCTAATTACATAATTTTCATAAAACCCCATTCTATATACACAGATATTAAGCTGATTTTATCTTTTATTTTTATATTAATTTTATATATTTTTAATATAATAAAACATTAAAAGGATTGCAAAAACCCCACATCCTGAAAAAAAAATGCTGAATAACTCTACTTTTGTTGAAAAAGAGGGTGTTCACTTTCTCCTCTCCTTATCTCGCTTTTTCCCAACCATCTGTACAAGTGACATAACTGATCATCCTGTCAGATGATGGTTTCCCCAAATCATGATCGATGGAAAAAATTACATAAAAAGACAAATTTTTATAGACTCAGGGCAGTTCATCCCAGATAGAGTTGCCATATAGAAGCAGTTCTTGCCACACAGGGAGTTCCTCGACACCTTGTCAAGTGCTTCTCCTCCTGCTACACCTTCTGCTCCCATTGTCCAACCTTCTATCTCCTAAAAACCGGCTAATTATCGACATCACCGACTCTCCGAAGAAGAGAAAATGTCCAATGAGGTAGTATAATTTATTGTAAACTTTATCTCTCAACCTATGGAATTAGGCCTAGAATATATTCCTCTTTGTATGTTTCTTTATTTTGATTTATTAAATAATTGCTTTTGTTGAGTTTATTTATGGACTCCTTTATTATTTATATTGAATTGCACAAACCCCACAAAGAATTTTACCACTCGAATTCTGTTAGGTTAAGCCATCCAGTGACAAGTTGAGCGGATCCTTCAGATCCGACAATTAGATGGACACCTTTATCTTCCCTGATATAATATTTAATTCCGATTTTTCTTCTACTTTACGGATGTTTTTTTTTTTCCTAATTGCTCCGTCAAGTCTTTTGATAGTACCGTGGTTTCTATATCCTCACTCATCTTCATTTTTATAGGGATATTATTCGCATATATAAGTACAACTGGTTTATTATCTGAGCGGACTGTGAAATATTTTCCTATCCAAAACCCCTTATCTTTCCTTGGAAGACCTTTTATTTTATGCTTGGGACAGAACTGTTTATCTCGATATCGCCTCTTATAACGAAATTGCGATTTCTTTTTATTTTTATCGCTAGTATTTTTTGTATTCCTTTATTCTTTAAAATATCTAATTGTCTCTGCAATTCAGCTAGACGGCGTTCTAAATCTAATATCATCCCATTTGTTTCTAATTTTTTTTCCCTTATTAATAATTTTAATTATATTACTTCTCCCTTCTCCCCTTTATCAAATGTTTTGGGCTCTCTCGACATAACCCTCTGACGAATTCTAATATCTGTCTCATTGGTAAATTGTACCCTAAGCCTTTCATCTAATTATTTTTCTATTACTCGTTTTATAATAGCCATTTCTGTATCACGGACTCCTTCGTGCTCAATTTTCATTTCGTTAGCTGTGCCTGTAGCCTAAGAGCATAAGCTTGAACATTCTCGTTCCGAGCTTGCACACAGGCATAAAATTTCTGAAGCCTATATGTATAAGGAACCCGTTCAAAGCGTTCTATCATAATTTGTTTGAACGTCTCAAAATCTACATCTTTAATTCTTCGATTTTCACATGCAATGCCCGAGCAATGCTGTTAACTTGAATTTAACAATGCCCGAGCAATGCTGTTAACAATGAAGTTAACTGGCAATGCTTGAGCAATGCCAGTTAACTTCAGATGGGCAATGGCCAACATCTGGGCCTTCATCCGTGCCGCTACCCTATTTACATCTTCCAGTGAATCAAAAAGTTCATTAATGCGAATCCACTAGTTTCATTTGAAAATACAGGAAGCAATGGAATCATTCCTCCTAGACCACCTGAAATTATGGGGTTACCTGCCAAGATGGCCTCTCTCGAGGGTTTTCCTTCATTTTCTTAATTTAACTTATATTTATCAATAAGCAACATAAAATAAACTATAAGCCTATTCTTATATCAGATAGCCCATAAGACATTAAAACCTGTCTAAAAAGGACGACCTGTTTATGAAGGATAAACCTATCTTTTGCACAAATATTCCACTTATGACACCAATATGTGAGAATATGGACAAGGGGTCAGTGCCCTCTAATCGTCAGATCTGAGGGAACCACTCACCTATTTCTTCCAGCGTAATGATTTTACGTTGAAAGAGATTGTTTATTTGCATCTCACTTTCAAAGTGACCTGTTGCAGCGGCATCTACTTTGATTCGCAAAGCCATTAGAGCTTTTTTCCTCCAGTCCAAAATCAGTATGCAATAAAACATAAAAAACTATAAGTAAACTATAAAAAACGATTCGAAAGAATGTTTCAGCTGAATTCTACATAATCTTGGATTTAGACTTAAAACCTGTTATAAAAATTTGGACTTTCTTTTTGAATTTACAAATTCGCCTTCTACCCTACGGGGAGAGAAATGGGCTAAATTCTGCGACGTTGAACTGCTTCCTCCAATATACTGAGGGTTTGTTTTAAGCATTTTTTTTCGTACGATACGTATTTCTCGAGCTATTTCAATCTAAACTTAAATTAAACATCCTGTTTAACAATATACAGTAGTAATAAGGTCTGTAAGTAGGGACAAGTACAATTAATATTTGTTCATGATCACATGCATTGAAAAGTTTTCACGTCATTTCAAATAACTCATTTTAAAGAATAATATTTTTATTGGCTTCGCTCCATATTTTAATTGAATTAATTCATTTTACATGTGTTTTTATAAATTTACTGCAAATGTAAAACAACAATAATAAAGTTCGAAATTTATTTAGTTATTTTAGTAATATTAAGTTAAATTCACTTTCTAAATTAATTTAGAAAAATAATTATTACCGACTGGTACTTTCCATTCTTGTTAATAATTGTTCGTATTGAATGAAGTAAAAGTGAAAAAAAGTAAAGTTATATCAGCCGGCAACAATTAAGTTGCTGGCATCTTTACAAAATCAAAACTATAAATAGGTAAAAGTTAATTATTTTTTGTTTTCTCATATTTCCTTGATTGTTCTAAGAAATGTTTACTTCTCAATAATATGTCTAGTAAATTCAAAGCCTTGATTTCAGCTTTACTTTAAAAAAAAAAAAAAAAAAAAAAACGAAAGTCAGATTCGTAACTCTTCTCATTTTACTCATAAACAATACAATAATTTCTGTAAATATTTCATCTCTATCACACACAAATTTTAAAAAAATAAATTTAGGAAACAATCGAAATAATCAATTACTTATGTTGATCATATTTAATTTAAAAGATTATTTCAATTGTATTAGAGTTGTTCAACTTTTGTACAATTACTTTAATTTTATTTATTAAATTCTTTTAATATATCAAGTAACTTTTATAATAATCATAATCAGACTCTACGAAGTTTTTGGACTAGACTCACGCAGGAATGACAGTTTCTGTACTAATCCAAAACTACTCATATTTAGTTATTTATATATTTTATACAAAAATTCAATCGAAAGAAGGAATATGATTTAACAACGCCTGAAGCAACGTTGTATTGTTTCATGATAATCTGCATCCGCCCACCTTCGACAAATCTGTGTTTTTTTCTTTGGAAACTTTTTTTTGAGATCTTAAGGTAATTACTTCTTTCCGGATCGCGTGATTTAGCGACCGCAATTTAATGACGTGGCCTTTCACAGAATCCATTTTTTCCTAAAATTGTAAAATTATTGGCTTTGCTTCAAAAATTATTATTACATCTTTGTTTTCTTTATTTTCTATACTTTTAAACAGTGTAAAATAGATTTATATTGACAAAAATTCTTTATTTGCATCGAATTTAATGTAATTTGATACGAAAAACGCAAAAAATAAACATATCAAATTTCAACTCGCTGTAATTTATTCCTGTTTCACCGATTGCCATCAGATTTGTTTGTAAATGGGGAAGAAATATAACACTTTCAAGTGAAGTGAGTAGAAATTTCGCACTATCGCGAGAAAATTTGTCAATAGACCCCAGCCTTACCTCCTACCGCGAAAGTCAATAAACGTTAATTGTTTCATGACTCTACTTCAAGCACTTTTTTCTGAGTTGTAAATGGACTAATTACAAAGGTTTTTCTTCATTTTACTCATAGGAATGTTGTTTTTAATATTTAACAGATAGTTTTGTTAGATCTTTATATATTAATTTCATTTTTAATATTTAATGTGAAATAGTCGTGTGTTAGGTTTAAATCTATCACCTAATATAAAAATAGACATGTCTGAAAATATTATAGAAACCATCAAAGTTCTTTGCTGATAGTTTAGATATAAATGTTTTCTGTACATTAAATGAAGCAATCAGAAAAAATAATGGGTGCACCATCAAAAATTCGGCAATTTACGACATGATGTCAAATGAGTAAATTATTTATAACTAAAAATTTTTTCGAAATTTCATTAGAAAAAATGCAAATGCATTTTTTGATGAAATTTCGAGGCTAAAATCGATCTGTTTCTTGCAATAAAAAATATTATTTGGAGAAAAGAATTCGTAGCAAAAAAGATGATCGCAATGGTCGCGATCGACGATAGCGATTATCGCGAGCGTGTTTTTTATGCCAAATTTTTCCTATCCGAAATATCGCGCGTAGTCTGTGAGAAGCCGGCAATTTTTCATCTTATTTTTCAGAATAAACTCGGCGCGCACTAAAAACATTATTTATTGCATTTTTTTGCAGTTCGAGAAAATTAGAGAATTTGAATTTTTTTTTTTTAATTTTTTGAAAAATTTTGGAAAAAATGCTGCTGAAAAAACTGCAACCAGGTGTATCACGCACGCCTTTTTATACTTGATAGATTAATCAGATCAGGAAAGTGTTACCTTTTAAGGTCAGGATAGATTGTTTGTGCAGCCCACATTGACTAACCACTACTACTAATTTCAGTAAGCTGCTAATTGTTTTATTGCCTTGTAAACAAAAACTCTCTTCACGAAGTCAGGAGTAACTTTAAGATCTGAAAAAAAATATCACTTGTTTGTTTTTATCAATGAAGCTTTACCGAAAAGAAGATTCACGTGTGATAACGAGATGAAGAAGGAAGTTCATTCCTTGCTGGTAACTGAGCCGATGTCATTTTTAATGAGACAGTAGGAAAGTTAGTTGACAGATAGGCAAAGTGTATTGAACAGCTGGAGGATTTTGTCGAAAAATGATCTATTTTACTTTTCTGAAAGTCGATTAAAATGAATTCTAGAGCGTTAGCGCGGATCAGTTTTGACTTAACCTCGTTTAATTTCTGTATACAATTTATACCTGAATCTGTGTATTCTGAATAAATTAAAATGTTTAACCTGCATTTACAGCAAAATTCTTTCGAAAGTACATAACTAAAAATATGTAATAAAGTTTTGTATTCGAAATTTATAAATTTATTTATTTAAAAGTCTTAATCAGTAATTTACAAAAATAAAAATAATATTTCCTCTCGCTTCAACATCCTATTGATTTGTTTTGCGTGTGACAAACAAATTATTATTGAAATCGCAACAGTGACATTAGCTTTACCTTAAAAAAACTTCTTATTTAAACTTTCCTTGTATTGTTTCGAGTTTTATTTATAACGTATAATAATTTCGACATCTTTTAAATACTTGACAATCAAAGATAAGAATTCTTTTGCGAAATCGAAATACAATAAATTAATTACTTTATATATTTTATTTTAAACTTTATTTTACTGGAATTAATTAATTAGAAGATATTCTATATTATTTTATATTTTTATTTTTATTTATAAAGAAAAGTCACTGTGTCCATAATGATTTTTTCAAATATCTGAATGTAAACCAAAAACAAGCACAAGAAAAAAAATCAAATATAAACCGAAAATGATTCATACTCAAGTTGTTCCAATATATTATTACCTGAAACTGTGTTCCTAAACATTTTTTATTCTTGATTCCGTTTTATTATGAACATTTTTTCGCAACCCAGTATCAGGGGTTATATATATCATAAAGACAAAGAAATATTGCCCGTAACTACTTGATTTAATTGCAAGCAGAACAATATACATACATACATAAAACCGGTTTTAGAATTTGGTTTAAGTCAGCGCCGTAACTAGAGTATGGCCAATGTGGTCCCACCATAGGCGCCGATTTAATAAAGGCGCCAACGAGAAGGTTTCGGAATAATATGTACAGTGGTACCTCAGGATACGAAATTAATCCGTTCCGAAACTGAAATCGTTACATGTAAAGCCAAATAATTCGTTCCAACACGAAAAACACACTCAAATTAAAGCTTAATAGTACATTTAAAAAATAACTATAGTAAGGAAAACACTGAAAAGTGCGTTTTGTAGTTATAAACGTATAAATAGCCATAATAGAATAATAATTGATTAAAAAAAATGTAGTTTTATTTGCACTTTACCTTTGAGGATAGACAACGGTGGAGGTGTAAAATGGTTGCAGGGCGATTGGCCAGTATTACGCATTTATAACTCAGTTGCACAAAAGATGTAATAGTTTTAATTAACGATAATAAAAAATCGATTTATTTAGCTTCGAATTCAACAGTTTGAATTTAATTTCTGTGACCAAGCATTTCGCTTCGCCACCCCATTTAGAGTCGCGATCCATACTTTAGGAAATACTCACCTAGAATATCGATGGTGATTTTTTCAACCTAAGCGTAGCTACAGGAGAAAGTAACTGAAAGTTAATCGGTTATTTCGGAGAGAAACGTTACGATATTTTCTTATTATATTGCCAAGCTACTATTTTTATTACCGTTAACGAATCTGTGGCTCGCCAGCTAAACTCGTCTTATGTATAAGCGACAAATCGTGTCGATTATATCAAATTGAGAGTATTCTGACACCGAATCTCTAAAATGTAACAATTCTGTTCTACTTGTGCTTTGTTATCTGCGTAATTGGATGCAGTATTCGAAACATTTATTCCATATGTTATTTTTTGCTTCAGCACGTATGATATCATTTTTTTATATGAATGATGCTCAAAAACACATTATTTATTTTGTTATTCTGTGAACTTAGACAAATAACATTGCCCTGTCTCTTGCTAAGTATTTCAACAAACATTATCACTTCGCTTGCACTAGTGAGAGTTCGCGATGCCACGTGCGGTCATGAAATGTGTTGCCGAAACACATGTTGGTGTAGCTTGCATCAGTTCCCCATTATTCGTGGCACGTACTTGTATTCCATTACAGCACCGAAAATGTATACCGGTCTGACCGGTGATC